ATATTTTTGATCATATCGCCCTGCTCTACTGTCCACCAATTCTCCATATGAAATTCAGGCCAGTTTGAAACAGCAGATGGTGTTTTCTGTCTCCAGAACTTTGAGGTCCAAGGTGAGATTGCAGAGTGCTCAGTGTAAGCAGTCAGATAGGGACTTACAGCGAAAGCTCTAAAAAAAGTAGATGCTCTGAAAAAAAGTCCAGAGGTGCTTGAGAACATAATTGTGAACGTGAAATAGACTTAATGTTTAGGCAATGTTTCTGACATCTTTCTCAGAACCTTTTGATCACACAATAACAAGTGCATAGAGACGTGGCACTCAGAAAATCCTGAATTCAAATCTATGGGAAATTAAAGATGGTGTAGTATGCTGTGTACCCACCCTTAAAAGCTCTATACAGCTGGGTTTCTTTTTTAAACAACAACAAAAAACATCCATAAATGTCTGTTATCATCTGTGCTTTTTTTAATACAAGTTGTTTTTTTTCTAAGAATTTTATTATATATTTATTTGTGTGTGTTTTGTTTTTTATTTTCTTTTATTTATTTTTGTCATTACAAAGTCAAAGCAGAAGTGGGAACTCTGCAGCTCATTTGATTCATGTGAACTTTGAAAAATAAAAACAGCTGATTGCCCACATGGTTGCTGTTTTGTTTCATCAGAACCCGAGGACAGCTAACGAGCAGGACAAGTAAACAAATAAGCCTTTGCTGAAACTTGCAGAATAACAGTTCCTTACTTGTACAGAAAGTATCACGGCAAAGGCATGACATCTGATTGGGCTGCCGGCAGATAAGACTGGTCCGGCTGATGTGACTATCAAACAGGGATCTGTTACCTACCTAGCGTTACGTTGAAGTGGACAGATTATAAGATATTATAAGAGAATGTGTGAGATATTGTGTTTTGTCCTGGAACAACACGTCTGTAAGGTCCCCTCCAAAAAAAATCTCAGAGTTGTTGAGCCTGTGTTTTGTGTTTCATTTATTGCAACAGTTGCATGAGTTTAATAACGCTTTGAATTTCTGTGTTTTTCCCCTGAACTTTAAAATATGAGCAAAAAGAAACGACCCATAAAGTGTCAAGTGATAGTAAAGGCGTGGCTGTGAAACTGTAGTATTACTGAGGAAAAAGGAGTTCGAGTGGGTTCGAGTTAGTGATGTAAGGAGCCAGGCATGATGGAAACAGAAACAGGATGATCTGACCTTGAATTCAATTCTAAACCTCACAGGCAACACGGGGCGATCGTGGCTCAAGAGTTGGGCGTTCGTCCTGTAATCGGAAGGTTGCCGGTTCGAGCCCCGGCTCCGACAATCTCGGTCGTTGTGTCCTTGGGCACAACAATGGGCAAGACACTTCACCCGTTGCCTACTGGTGGTGGTCAGAGGGCCCGGTGGCGCCAGTGTCCGGCAGCCTCGCCTCTGTCAGTGCGCCCCAGGGTGGCTGTGGCTACAATGTAGCTGCCATCACCAGTGTGTGGATGGGTGGATGATTGTGTATAGTGTAAAGCGCTATACAAATACAGGCCATTTACCATAACTAATGGAGAGATGATAAAACAGGTGCAATGTGATGTCTTTTTCAGGTACCTGTGTGCTACCTGGCAGCAAAATTCTGAACAACCTGGAGACGGGACAGGGAAGGCCAACTGAGACTAGTGTAAACTGAATTACAGAGGTCCAAGGGGGGGTTAATTCATTACATTGATTGGAAAATAAGAAGACAGCTTTTTTTTTTTTTAACCATCCAATTAATTTACTTGTCAAAACAAAGTCAAGTCAAGAGAGCAATTTCTATTTATTCCCATTTAGTTGAAGAAAACCCTTTTAATAACTTAGTTAATTTTTTTAAATACCACGCCTGTTCAATACAGGCCCCCACATGCATGTATAATTCATTATTGTTTTTGCTAGTGATTATGATTTATTATTATTATTTTAGGTGGGGGTAATCCAGTGTAAAAACATAAATAAAAATGCCAGAAAAAAATCATTAATTACATTATTATTTGTTAAAACAAATTATCATGACAAATTATTTCATTTTTATGTATCTATTTTTTAATTCCCACTTACATTTGGTGTAAATAACACGTAAACATCAGGAGAAAAGTATGCAGCTTCACTGTAGCCAGTGACTCAGACTCAGACAAACGTCATGCCAATGTCACCCACAGAAGAATACATTGACAATAAAGGTCAGTTTTGCAACTGTGCAGACTGGAGCTACTGGACTCTTTTGGAAAGCAGCTTTTTAAACTTTGAAGTTTTGGTTTGAAAACATGTTTTCATGTATTAGGTTTTTTGTTTTGAAGCACTTTGTGATGTGCCTCAAAAAGTGCTATATAAGTCATTTTTACTTTAATTTACTTTCACAGTGACTAAAAAGTTGTAAATTTAATCTGGTCTGGACACCAGGTTGCAGCACATTTAAATGCACACAGATTATATATCATCCGACTTAAAATAGCAAACTTTAGAAACAATAAATTAAGACAACACACCTTACACAGAATACCCAGCCACTGGTACAGATATATAGACGACAACTGGGTGAAAAACAAAACACAAGAAGTGCAATCCTGCTCACTGCACACATTAACGCCGTGGATAAAAACATTGAGTTCACTAGGGAAGACAAAGGACGACTGTTTGCCTTTCCTGGACTGTGCTGTGCACATTGAAGAGAATGGGAAACTAAACATTGAAGTTTATCGGAAGCCCACACACACGGACCAGTACCTCCTCTTTGACTCCCACTCTACACCACCGGGCAGAACATGTTCCCTCTAAGCCTGAAGGGAAAAAGAAGGAACACACACATGTAAAGGAAGCACTCAAAACGTGCGG